CGCGCTCGCTTGCACCGCTGTGCATTCCTTGCGTCGAGGGGCGGCAGCGCGCCGCTCCTCACTCCTCCTCGTTTCCGCCGACCACCGCTCCTCTGCAGACTCTCCACATGGACGTGTGGGGCCCAACCCGCGTCTGTGGATAGGACCAAGAGCTCTACTTTCTGCTGATTGTTGACGACTACACGCGTTACACCACAGTCTTCCCCTTGCGGAGCAAGGCGGATGTCCGAGGAGTTTTGATCGACCGGATCATCGCTGTTCGTCGCCATCTGAGCACTCGGTTTGAACAGGACCTCCAGGTCCTGCGGCTGCACTCTGACAGAGGCGGTGAGTTTTCCTCCGTCGTCCTTTGGGACTTTTGTCGTACAGAGGGCATCCGCCAGACGTTCACGCTTCCGGCCTCTCCACAGCAGAATGGGATTGTTGAGCGCCGCATTGGCTTAGTCATGGACGTTGCTCGCACCTCCATGATCCATGCAGCTGCTCCCCATTTTTTGTGGCCGTTTGCGGTCCGTTACGCCGCGCATCAGCTCAACCTTTGGCCCCATGTCTCTGTGCCAGAGACCTCGCCTACACTGCGTTGGACGGGAGAGGTTGGCGATGCGTTGGCATTTCGGGTCTGGGGCGCGCTCTCCCTTGTTCGCGATACCACCGCGAGCAAGCTCTCCCCTCGCACTCTCCGCTGTGTCTTCCTTGGCTTCCCCACCGATGCCCCGCCCTGGCAGTTTTACCACCCTGCCTCGCACCGGGTCCTGTCTTCACAGGATGTCATGTTTGACGAGTCGGTCTGCTTCTACCATCTCCACCCGCACACGTCTTCCCCACTCTCCCCGCCGCCCTTCTTCCTAGTCCCAGGTGCTCCTCCGGTAGACCCCCGCTCCCTCAGGTGTGTCTTAGGTCGACCCACCCCCCTTGGTTGAGCCTTTGGAGGTCTTCTCTGACTCCTCTGGCCCAGCTGAGGGGGGTGACCCCGCGGCTGACGACACGGCGGCCACTCGTCGCTCCCCGCGCTTGGAGACCCCTCCTGGTTTTCCGCCTCGGTCGCCTTCGCCGCCTCCTCAGCTTGTCGCTGTGGGCTCTGGTGGTTCTGGGGGTGCTGAGTCTGGGGGTGCCGGTTGTGGGGATGCTGAGTCTGGGGGTGCTGGTTCTGGGGGTGCTAGAGCTCCTGGTGCTGGAGGTGCTGGAGCTGGAGGTGCCGCTGGTTCTGGGGGTGCTAGAGGTGCTGGAGGTGCTGGAGCTGCTAGAGCTGCTGGTGCTGGAGGTGCTGGAGCTACTGGTGCTGGAGGTACTGGGGGTGCTAGAGCTGCTGGTGCTGGAGGTGCTGGAGCTGGAGGTGCCGCTGGTTCTGGGGGTGCTAGAGGTGCTGGAGGTGCTGGAGGTGCTGGTGCTGGAGGTGCTGGAGCTGCTGGTGCTGGAGGTACTGGAGGTGCTGGAGCTGCTGGTGCTGGAGGTGCTGGAGCGGCTGGAGGTACTGGAGGTGCTGGAGGTGCTGGTGCTGGAGGTACTGGAGCTGCTGGTGCTGGAGGTGCCGTTGGTTCTGAGGGTGCTAGAGCTTCTGGAGCTGGAGGTACTGGAGCTGCTGGTGCTGGAGGTACTGGAGGTGCTAGAGCTGCTGGTGCTGGAGGTGCTGGAGCAGCTGGAGGTACTGGAGGTGCTGGAGGTGCTGGTGCTGGAGGTGCTGGAGCGACTGGAGGTATTGGAGGTACTGGAGCTGCTAGTGCTGGAGGTGCTGGTGTTGGAGGTGCTGGAGTTACTGGAGCTGCTGGTGCTGGAGGTGCCGCTAGTTCTGGGGGTGCTACAGCTGCTGGTGCTGGAGGTGCTGGTGCTGGACGTGCTGGAGCTAGAGCTGCTGCAGCGGCTGACGGTACGGGAACTATGCCGCGCCGAATGTTTTTCTACCCGCAGTCGCAGTCGTCCTTGCCACCGCCTGACTCGGTCCTTCACCAGGTTCTTAGTCTCATGTCTTCCACTGGCCTCACGCCACCTCTTCTGTGTCCACCGACAGACCGGTCTCAGCCACAGCTACTGCCTGGCTCTCCGCTACCTGCTCCTGCTCCTCACGCTGAGGTGACTGCGTCCCTGACTGCGCCTCGTGAGCATGAGACTCGTGCTTCCACACATGTTCATGCTCGTCGTGTCCCACGTTCTCGTCCTCCTGCTGTCCTAGACGTTACAACACTTCGTCCTTCCTCTGTTCTACAGCGTGTTGCCCTGCTGTCTCCTCCTGCGTCCTCTCTTCGTGACGTTCTTGACCCTGAGTCCGACCTTGCTCGTGCTTCCAGTCCTACTGTCACTCGTCTCCTTGCTACTGTCGTCACTGGCCCTGATTTTGAGTCTACGACTGCGTTTGCCCTAGTCACAGAGCTAGTCGACTTTGCTGCTCGGAGTCGTCTCGGCTACGTCGCGAGCCTTGTTACTAAGTCCGAGTCTGTCTGTCGTCCATCCGTCGGGGGTGAGCTTGCCCTTGGCTGTGACGTCCTTGAGGACATGCATTTTGAGCTTGAGTGTCTCACGGCCACTTTACCCCGTTTCGCGTCCATGCTGCTTTGCCCTGAGGGAGACCCGGATGCACTTGACATCCCTACCCCACACTCTTACGCTGAGGCGATCGCGGGTGAGTACTCCTCTCAGTGGCAAACAGCCATGGATTCAGAGATGGCTTCCTGGAAGTCCACAGGCACCTACGTCGATAAGGTTCCCCCTCCTGGGGCGAACATAGTCGATGGCATGTGGATTTTCAGTTTCAAGCGGCCGCCGGGTTCTCCGCCTGCCTTCAAGGCGCGTTACGTTGCTCGAGGCTTCAGTTAGCGACAGGGGGTTGACTACTTCCGGACCTTCTCCCCCACCCCGAAGATGACTACTCTTCGGGTGCTGCTGCACGTTGCAGCACAGCGTGACTACGAGTTGCACTCCCTCGACTTCTCCACGGCTTTCTTGCAGGGCAGCCTTCACGAGGAGATCTGGCTGTGTCGTCCACCTGGCTTGACTGGGTCATTTCCAGACGGTACCCAGTGGAGTCTCCGGCGGCCAGTCTACGGCCTCTGCCAGGCGCCCCGCGAGTGGCACGACATACTGAGGACGACACTTGCGGCTCTTAGGTTTGCTCCTTCCACTGCTGACCCGTCGCTGTTTCTCCGCATCGACCCTACTCTGCCGCCATTCTACATCCTCGTGTACGTCAACGACTTGGTCTTTGCTACTACCGACAGTGAGGCACTGACCCTTGTGAAGGTGGAACTGCAGAAGAGAAACACTTGCACTGACCTGGGTGAGTTGCGTAACTATCTTGGCTTGCAGATCACCCGGGACAGAGCACGGTGCACATCACTCTGACTCAGTCACACATGGTGCACCAGGTCCTTCAGCGCTTCCGCTTTCGGTTCTCCTTGCCACAGCCCACTCCTCTGGCTACCGGCCACTCGCTCTCAGCTCCACCTTTGGACGAGTGCGTAGAGCCGAGTGGCCCGTACCCAGAGCTTGTGGGTTGCCTCATATACCTGATGACGTGCACACGACCTGACCTCGCGTACCCTCTCAGCATCCTTGCTCGCTTCGTCGCCCCCGGGCGACACAGGAAGGAGCACTGGACAGCTGCGCAGAGGGTACTGCGTTACTTGTGCAGTACATCGGGCATGTGGCTCGTGCTTGGAGGACGGGGTCCAGTTGTACTCACAGGACACTCCGACGCTTCTTGGGCTGACGACCAGGCGATTCAGCGGTCGTCCCAGGGTTACTCTTTCAGTCTCGGCTCTGGTTCTGTCTCGTGGAGGTCCACTCGTTCGTCTTCTGTGCTTGGTTCCAGCTGTGAGGCCGAGATCTAGGCTGGTGCCATGGCTTCACAGGAGTTACGATGGCTGACCTACCTGCTGACCGACTTGGGTGAGCGGCCTCGTTCTTCTCCAATTCTATACGTTGACAACAAGGCCATGATTGCCTTGTGTCAGGAGCAGCGACTGGAGCACAGAACGAAGCACATTGCTCTTCGTTACTTTCTTGCTCGGGAGCTGCAGCAGCGTGGTCAGCTGCGCCTTGCTTACGTGGACTCTCGGTCCAACACTGCTGATTTCTTCACCAAGGCCCTTGGGTCTGGTGATCATCAGCGTTTCTGCACTGCTCTAGGCCTTTTGCCTACTCTGCCTCACCTGCTGGTTGCTTGACTGGTCTTATACTGTGATATATACGTATGTATATATATACCTGCATGCTTGTTCTTGCTCGATTGTGATCACTGTACTGCTTGTGCTTTTATAACGCTGCTTGTGAACTGGCCTTGTGGCCGCTTGCTTGTGCTAAAAATGCGTGGCGATCTTGAGATCCACCGTGGGCTTTGATTTGCTTTGTTCTCTTGCTTGACTAGTCTTGTGACCATCCGCTCCGCTTGCTATCCCCGATTTTGCCTATGGGGGTGTGTCAAATTCTATTTGTTCTGTAGGCTGTATTGGGGCATACCCTAAAGGGTACAACACTTTAGGGTTAGGGTTAGCCATACAATCCTGTTCTGCCCATCATTCAAGTCATTCTTAAGTTCCTATCTCTGACAGGACTTAGCTTCATGTATCATGAGTCAGCAACGAGCACCCATGAGGTGACGATATAATGTTCGCCTGATGAACACTAAAGTTATATAGTCCTCTTCGTCGTGCTGTAGCGATTACAATGCTGATGAAATTAAATCCAGCTGATAAACAGGCTTCACGCAATGTGAGTTCCAGGCTCGTGCCAGGCAGCCATGGCGGAGAGCTCGAGAGTTCCATGGTATTATCGGACTAACTTTTAACAAGAAGCATTCTTTTTTTCTCTCTCTCAAATGTACGCGTTTGAAGGTCATACTGCTGGCACATTTTCGGACCCAGTTTCGCCGTCTTTCACATTTCATGGCATGTCCCGGACATTCGTATTTCCTAAGTACCTTACCCAGCCGATGAGAAATCTCATTAACCGATGTAGAAGCTATTGAACCGCATTCCATTTAAACTTGTGGCACACGTCATCCGCAAGAAATGCAGCGATGCACACTGAAGTCACTTACTGTCGATGCGGTGCATCAGAGTAGTCCAATGCTAACGAGTTTCCTGGCTGCCTCTGGAATCGCGTGGTGCCCAGAGTTACTGCGTCAGTGATTCTGCTTCACACGCTCGCTTCACGTCTTCCCTTCCACGTCGCCCCTCCCCGATAGGCCCTCTCTCCCCGTGCTAACACCCTCCCAAACTGACGCTCTCCTCGTTCCGACGTCCTCCCAGTTATTAAGCTCTCCCCGGCGCTCTGCCCCCTCGCCTGCGCTCACGCCGTCATTCGCGCTCACGCTGTCATCCGCGCACGCGCCGTCCCCACCCACTAGGCCGGTCATGCCAGTCACGCTTAAGGTCGCTGGTTCCTGGTCCGGGCAGGTCGAAATTCCGTCCCTGACCGAATGGACCGTGTGCAAGCTGCGGGCGGAGCTTTCGCGCCTCTCCCGGATCGACGCGGGCAGTTTAAAAATAATATGCGGTGGACGCACGCTTAAAGACGAGGCGGAGGCGGAGGGGGAGGCGGAAGGGGAGACGGGGCGAGCGGGGAAAGCGGCAACGGGGGCGGAAGTGAGAGTTGCGGAGGGGAATACGGGGGGTGTTGGGGAGGAGAATAGCGAGGGGAATAAGGAAGGGGACAAGGGGGAGGGGAAGGGGACGGGAAATGGGTTGGGAAAGCGGAAGGGCGGGCGAGGACGGACCTTAGAGGAGGTTGGGGTGAGGGCAGGTTCACGGCTTCTGGTGACAGGTGGCGGCAGGCGATTGGGCGGCGAGATTGCAGCGGAGGCGAAGAGAGCAGTGGAAGAGGAAGCTGCGAGGAAAGAGGCGGAAGAGAGGTTGGCACGGCTGAGGTGAGCAATGGGGAATGGATGGTTGAAAGGGTGGGACTTGAGGGGTGAAGAACGGTCGGGAGGAGTTAAGGTTGGCTGAAGACGTGGGACTTTGGGTTGGAACGTGTTTCAATCTGACTTAAAACACATGGGGTATGATAGCTGAAAGATGGGAGTTAATTAAGTGCTGAAGTAGGAACAAGGAATGATGCATGGTTTGTTGTTAATCTACTTGCTTCTTCCCAACTTCACTCCACCACCACCACCCTCCCCATTCCCCCTCCCCCTCATCCTTCCTCCTCCCCCTTCCACCTTTCCATTCCCCCTTTCGACTTGTGCCAGGGCTGCAGCAGCTGCCATTGCACGGAGAGGCAGGGCGGGCAGAGGGGGAAGGGGAGGGCAAGACGTGAGGGGTGATGATGATAATGCCAATGGTGGTGGGGATGATGATGACGATGATGCTGAATTGCTGCTGGAGAATCAGAGTGGGCAGAGACTAGAAATGGCGCCAATCGATAAACGGTGAGACGGCCGTTGAGTCGACACAGGTTCACCTGATAGAACTTGGTAAATCGGTTGAAATCCTGTAATGGAAAGAAATACTTTTCAGAACCAGAAGGGCCTGAGACAAAAAAAATGACAAAGATTATAAACGGTGAGAAGCCAGAGCAGAAAACGTCCATTCAAAGAGAAGGGGTGCTCCTGTTACTTACTAAGGCCTAGCCATTCTCTCTCCTTTCCACTCACTCTCGAACGCTCTCTCTCACGCCGTCGCACCTCCCACCCACGACACACCTCTTTGTGTGTGTGCGTTTCCTCACTTCTTTAAATGTCCACTCCTCTCAGGTCTCTCGTAACAGGTCTGCTATTGCACTCCCATGGCCGATCTCTTTTGAGTCGACTCAAAAGTCACTTCGTGTGTGTTTGTTTCCTCACTTGTTTTTACTTCTTTAAATGCCCACTCCTCTCAGGTCTCTCGTAACAGGTCTGCTGTTGCACTCCCATGGCCGATCTCTCCTCACCAAAGGCAATTTCGTGGAAGCCCTCCCTGTGCTGGAGATGGCAGAGGTGCGATTTTTCCTTGTTTTTTCTTGAGTGTGTTGAGAAGAGAAATCGGTGTTGAGATTGCCTCGCTGCCTGTGCATTCCCTGTTGAGGCATGGCACCTACCCACACACATCCAGTTTTGCTTCAAGATCAACACTTCAGATCAACACTTCAGATCAACACTTCAGATCAACCCATGCCTTTTCGTGTGCCATGACATGTGGTTTGGCGTGACATCGTGCACCTATTCATGTCTGTGTGCTTGTTGCTGCAGGAAGCATTCAGCATCTGCGATGCCAAGATCACAGAGGTAACCAAATCGCTCTGACCAGGTTTAATTCACTTTCTGTGTGCCACTCTTTTCGAAATACTTATCTCCAGTTAGTACCCTTGTGGTTGTTATTCCGTTGTGCAAAGTGTATTCCTGAAAGAACATGGGAAAAAAAGTGTTTTCATTTACTCATCTTAAAAAAAAAACCCTTCACTTCTCTCCCCATGCCTCTCTATCCTTCCTTCCATGTGTCTAGTCTATAGACAACATTCCAATGCTCCTACTGGACATCGTATGGTGCCACTACATGACAAAAGACGTCGCCAGTCTGGCATCCGCTAAAGGACGGCTTGCTGCCGCCCGGTCAGCTCTGCGCAAGGCGCACGGCGCGGACATGTCACGGCTGAGGATGCTTCAGGGAAACTTTCGACCTGAGCTAGCCACGTGAGTGTTAATACAGGTAGAGGCACCGTCATTTTTGGATTGACTTATGAGGCGCCTCAAAAGTCTATACAGGTAGAGCACTGTCATTTCTGGATTGCCATTCTTTTGGGTTGCCATTTGATAGCCGTTTTACTCTTGCTTCTCACAATATCCCACTGCAATGCTTTTTTTTTTTTACCTTCTTTCCTTCCTTCACTTGTCGGCCCACCCTCTCTCGCCCTCTCTTCATCCTTCTCTACTCAATCTTGTGCGTTTCACGCTCCCATTCTCCCACCTCCGTTGCCCATACTCGTTATAGGTATCTCCGCCTTGACCTGCTAGACGCCATTGCAGCATACCACAGTGGAGACCTGACGGGAGCCCGACCGCTACTAGCATCGGCCCAGTCCCTCTTTCAGCAGGTACTTAAAATCACTAGAAACACTTTAGAATCACTTAAGAATCACTTAAGAATCATGAGCTCAGTCCCTGTTCACTTGGTCACCTGCCCACACCACACTTGAAATGAAGAAGCAGCACTCAGCTCAGCCTTATCACTTCAGTCGGTCATCATTTCATTCTCCAGCTCTGTATAGATTACGTAGCCCTTCACACTCTCTTTTGAGGCGCTGATGCTCAAAAGTTGAATATGTAGCCCTTCACACTCTCATATCTCACCTTCACGCATCTCTCCTCATTTCCCCCCTCACAACTCCCCAATCCTCCTCATCCCCCCTCATCCCCCTTCATTCCCCCTCATCCCCCTTCATTCCCCCTCATTCGCCCTCATTCGCCCTTCCCCCCCTCATCACGCCACCTCAGCTGCAGGTTTCAGACGAGTCATTGGCCAGCCTGGCAGGCATGGGCTTCCCAACCACCGACCTATTCACCTTCTTCCCAACCACCGACCTATTCACCTTCTTCCCAACCACCGACCTATTCACCTTCTTCCCAACCACCGACCTATTCACCTTCTTCCCAACCACCGACCTATTCACCTTCTTCCCAACCACCGACCTATTCACCTTCTTCCCAACCACCGACCTATTCACCTTCTTCCCAACCACCGACCTATTCACCTTCTTCCCATGGTATTTCCTCATCCCCTTTCATCCTTGTGTCATCTTCCCTCATCCCCCCGCATGCCCTCTCCTTCCCCCTCGTTCCCCACCTCAGCTGCAGGTTTCAGACGAGTCATTGGCCAGCCTCGCAGGCATGGGCTTCTCGGCCAATGAGGCGAGGCGTGCACTGCGCGTGGCGGGCGGTGACGTGAGCCGGGCGGCGGAGTTTGTCATCTTGCAACGGCAGCGGGAGGCAGAGAAGGCAGAAGAGGACAGAAGGCAGAGGCGGATGGAGAGGTGCGTGTAGGGAGGGGGGGATATCAAGTGCGTTTGAGTCTGGGAAGCAGGTATGGGATGGAAGGAATATCAAGCGCACTGAGTGTGCATTTGAGTAGGCACACTGTCTTTCGTTGTGTTTCGCTGTCCTTCGAGGAACGAATGCTTTCGGTTCCGAACACGCATGATGTATGTGAATGTTCATGCGTGACAATGATGTATGTGAATGTTCATGCGTGACAATGATGTATGTGAATGTTCATGCATGACAATGATGTATGTGAATGTTCATGCGTGACAATGATGTATGTGAATGTTCATGCGTGACAATGATGTATGTGAATGTTCATGCGTGACAATGATGTATGTGAATGTTCATGCGTGACAATGATGTATGTGAATGTTCATGCGTGCGTTTGGTGTGCTGCCAAACCGCTATGGGGTGTGGCATGTGCATGGCATGTTGCAGGGAGCAGCGGGCCTATGGGAGGACGCCACGTGGCAAGAAGGTGGACATGCGGCTGCTGGACGAGCTGGCAGCATATGGGTGAGTGGGCACGCGGATGACGTCATGCTGACGTCACTCGGAACATTTGAGTGGGCAGGATGTTTGGGGAGTACCCATTTTCCCATTTTCCCATTTTCCCATTTTCCCATTTTCCCATTTTCCCATTTTCCCATTTTCCTCCACATCTGCTGATCTGTCCAGTCTAGTTTCTGTCTCATGCTTGAACAAAAGCGTTCTCACTTCGCTCGATTCCCCATCACCTGTTTCATTCATACCCCATTGCATCTCAGCTCTTCTTTCACTCCGTTCCTGTACTCCTCTCCACCGTCTCAGCTTCACGCGGCGGGTGGCAGCAGAGGCGCTGAGGCAGAGCGAGAACCACCACCAGAGGGCCCTAGACGCGCTTCTTGACCCCAACTCCCTCGCTGCTCTCGAGGCAATTCCACCCTCCCTGCCCCTCTCTGCCCATCTTTGCCCATCTCTACCGCTCTGAACCACCACCAGAGGGCCCTAAACGCCCTCCTTGATCCAAACTCCCTCGCTGCTCTCTCTCTCTCGAGAAATCTCCCACCCTCTCTCCTCAACCCTCAGCACTCCTCCACACACCACCACACTCTCAGGTATCAATGCAATGACTTCTGAGTTGCGTTGACGGTGCCTCCATTTACTCTCTCCCCTGCGCTCTTCAACACTCCCATGTGCTTGCAGGTGGCAGTGGCAGATGGGAAGGCAGACAGCAGCAGGAGGAGGCACAGCAGAGGTGGTGGTGGTGGTGCTGCTGGTGGCATGTGTTCAGATGACTCGGTGGTAGCGCTAGTGGCGCTGGGCTTCTCTGCTCAGCAAGGTAGGTATCTCCTGCACCGCCGTCAAGGTACCTCCTCAGGAGTGGTTCTGGTGGATCAGCAGGCACTGCTGATGGCACTGGTGCTGCTGCTGGTGGCACTGGTGCTGCTGCTGATGGCACTGGTGCTGCTGCTGGTGGCACTGGTGCTGCTGCTGGTGGCACTGGTGCTGCTGCTGGTGGCACTGGTGCTGCTGCTGGTGGCACTGGTGCTGCTGCTGGTGGCACTGGTGCTGCTGCTGGTGGCACTGGTGCTGCTGCTGGTGGCACTGGTGCTGCTGCTGGTGGCACTGGTGCTGCTGCTGGTGGCACTGGTGACGTGTGTTCAGATGACTCGGTGGCAGCGCTGGTGGCGCTAGGCTTCTCTGCTCACCAAGGTACCCTCATCCTCCACCATGCCATGCCATGCCATCCCGATCCATGTCACACCATACCATGCCGATCCATGCCACACCATACCGTGCCATGCTCATCCCTCCCCCCCCCCATCTCCATCCGCCTGCCTCCCCCATTCTCTCCCTTCGCCACACACAGACACTCCTCCCTATCTCCAGCCCGACAAGCCCTAGAGAACAACATCAAACGTGGCACTTATCCTCCCCTCCCCACACCTTCCCACCCACACACGCCCCTCCCTGTCTCCAGCCCGACAAGCCCTAGAGGGCAGCAGCAACGACGTGGAAGCAGCAGCAGCAGCTTTGCTGCAAGGGGAGTATGGGGAGGCTGGCACTGGGGAGGGCGGGGGCAGTGGGGAAGGAGGGTCAGGGGAGGGGGGGAACGGGACAGGGGGAGAGGGGACGGAGGGAGGTGGAGGAGCAGGGGGAATGGATGTTGAGGAAGGGGAAGGGAGTGAGGGAGGGAGTGAGGGGAGTGAGGAGGAGGAGGGGGAGAGGGATGAGGAGATGGAAGGGGAAATACGGAAGGGAGTGAGTGGGGATCCCTATGCTGAGTACGATCTGGATGTTTCACTAGAAGCTGCTGCGGTAGAAGAATACTCCAAGCTGATTATTGGCAACAGTGAAAATGTCTGATTACTCTACACTTGATGTGATTTGAGGCAAACTTGTGCGAGGTGGTGTGACTTGTTAAAAGCTGCTATGGTACCGTATTCCCCCGGATAAAAGACCCTAGGGTCTGTTATTTATTTCATAAAAAAATGTGGGGGGTCTTATTAAATTGTATGAAATCTTAAGACCCGGGTCTTACTACAATTGCTAGTATGTTTTTCTGAATGTAATGAAATGCAGGGGTGTTGTAATGTTGTGCTGCATTTTTAAAACGGGGAAACACCACGCGAATGTCCTGGGCCGAGGAAGCGGGCACAATCCATGAAGCATCTGAATGCTTCATGCACATTGGCCCACATTGAGTGGTAACCAGCACGCTAGATCACGGGGCGAAGGACGTGTACCACGTCCACTGCATTGTGTTAGACCGCCTTGGAACAGAAACAGAAACAGGGACTGATATTTTCATGTTACAAACACTTTTGAGGTTTGGGGGGGGGGGTCTTACCGTATAATGATTTCACCCCAAATGGGGGGTATAACGAAAACAGCCGGTAATAAAATACCCCCCCCCGTATTAAAGACCCGGGTACATTATTACCAGTATGGGGGGGTCTTTTTTCGGGGGAATACGGTACTACGGTATTGTAACTGAGGACAATGTACTCCAGCCTGAGTGATTCTATGGCAGTACGCGTAAAATAGACTTTGTATAATGCATAATAAGCTCCACTTTCTTTAGGACTTAGGTGCCAAAGGAGTTACATAGTACTGTACAGGACACAGGCAAAGAATGCTCTCTATAAGTTTCCTGAGTCTTCCAGAATCAGTAACCTGACGAGGGTTCTGAGAACAGCGGACCAGCAAACCGCTTCACTCCCTTCACTCGGCCTGACTCCCCTCACTCTGCTCCCCCTGCTCACCCCTCCATATCTGCATCCATCACAGCACCTCTCACCCGCCCCACCTTCACCTTCATCTTCCCCTTCAGTTTCCTCTCTACTGCCCTCTCCGCCTTTGCCTCTGCTGCCGCCCTCTCTCCTCCCACCTCCTCGCCCTCCTCCATGGCGACTGAAATCGCCTTCTCCTTGGCTGCTTGCTCCGCCACGGACACTGAGAGCGTTGAGAGAGGCTTGGGGAGGGTGAGGGAGGGGTCTGCTGCGAGGGCTGCTGGGGCCTTGACCAGGTGGATTCCAGTTTCGAGTTCTTGGCGTGCCTGCCGCCGCTCCTCCTTGGTCTTCACCTTCATTCTGTTGATGGGGAAAAGGAAGAACCATGGGAGGGAGGCACGAGGGGAAGAGAGCAAGCAGCAGAATGAGCAAGGGACGGTCGGCAGTGCTGCTGGGACCTTCACCAGGTGGATACAAGGCATGAGGAGAAGAGGGGAAGTTGGGGGAGGGGCAGAGGGGGGTAAGCAGCAGAGTGAGCACCCACCACTTCACCCAGGAAATGGCTTGACGATTCACTCGAAGCTGAGCTTGTGTTTTCACCCAGGAGAATTCTCAAAAAACACATGGCTTGACGTTTCACTCGAAGCTGAGCTCAGCCCTACGACCAGCCCTTCCCCACCACCCAAACTACCACCTCAGCTTGCCACCACACCCCACCCCACTCACCGAACTTGCCCCCTTCTCCCAGAACTTGGCCTGGCGCTTCACGCGCAGCTCGTCGATTCGTTTCATTGCTGCTACCTACCGCCCGTCCCTGCCACCCTAACCTACTAGCCCCCCACTCACCGCTTCACACCCCACTCACCGCTTCTCCCAGAACTTGGCCTGGCGCTTCACGCGCAGCTCGTCGATTCGTTTCATGGCCGCCACCGTCGTCGCCACCACGTTGCGGTCGTATCGCTCGGGCCTGTTCCGCCGCCTCTCCATCTCAAACGTCGTGTCCTGCAGGCGAGGGGGACACGGGTTTGCGTTTGGGGAGTTCGGAAGGGGGAGCGGAGGGACGGAGGGAGGGGGGCAGGAAAGGGTTTCGGGTTTGGAAGCGCAGGCGGGCACACGGGTGGAGCCTGTGGTCTATCGCCGCCACCGTCGTCGCCGCCACATTGCGGTCGTATCGCTCGGGCCTGTTCCGCCGCCTCTTCATCTCAAAGGTTGTGTCCTGGTGATGGTGGGAGGAAGGGGGGTGTAAGGGCGCGGTTTGGAAAGGTGTGGATGGGTGGGGTTTGGTGGACTCAGAGTGTCAAGCCTCTTGTCGCCACCACATTGCGGTCGTACCGCTCAAGCCTGTTCCGCTGCCTCTCCATCTCAAAGGTTGTGTCCTGGTGATGGTGGGAACGCGGGAGGGGTGGGGTGAGGGAAGGTGCGGATGGGGGGAGGAAGGGAGGAGGGTGACGTGAAGAGGCGCATGAGGGCGCACGGGTGGAGCCAGCGGTCTTTCATCGCAGCCACTGTTGTGGTCGTACCGCCTCAGGACGGTTGCGCCGCCTCTCCCTCTCAAAGGTTGTGTCCTGATGTTGGGGGGAAAGGAGGGTGGAAGGGTGAGGTTTGGGAGGGTGCGGTTTGGGAGGGTGCGGATGGGTGGGTTTTGGGACAACCAGACCAGGGAGGAAGGGGGATGGGAGGAAGAAAGAGGGGGGGAAACTCACCGCGGCGAGGTCTTTGCCGTGCAGGCGGCGGTACGCCTTGGTCCATCGCACTTTGCGTGAGTTTCAAGAGGAAGGGAGAGGGAAGAAGGAGGTGGGAGGATGGGGGAGGGGAGGAAACTCACCGCGGCGAGGTCTTTTCCGTGCAGGCGGCGGTACGCCTTGGTCCATCGCACTTTGCGCGGGTTGCGCTTCAGCTTGAAGTTCCGGTGGCACTTGGACCGGCAGAACCGGAATACCTGCCCGCACACCGCAACGGAAGGAGAAAAAACCTCAGCCAACATTGTTTTCCCTCAAAACCCGCAAGAGGACTAATCATGATGCGCCTTGAAAGGAGACGGATGTTTTCGCGTGTTTACGAAACCAGGTGTTTTGAGATGAGGGTTCGGCCCGCTTCGCGCCTCGACCTAATAGTCCGATACGGATGGTACGGATTTCACCTCACCTTGGCGTCATTGCGCACGTAGCAGATGCCGTGACCGGGATACACGGTCGACGAGCAGAACCAGCACTTCTCTAATCTCATCGCGCTGCGCCGATGAGCGACTCGATACTAGGTTCTGATAACGGGCCGTAAACTTGCCGCTGAACGGAGCGCGGGTTCTGAGCGTAGCCGATTTTCTCTGCACACCAAGGGTGGAATCCCAGCGAATATGTGGGTGCGGTTGAAATAGCGAAAAATAACGCTATGCGAAAGCACCTACTACAGCGGAAAGCCTTCGGTGAAACGACCTAAATGAAGGGTGGCACGTAGCACGATTCGAGGAGTGCGACTGGGACAAGGCGAGCCGCAGACTGCACGGCAAAGGCGTCAACGACGACTGGCGACGGCGTGCGACGGTGAACGGAGCCAAGCCCAAGACACTCGAAAAGCGCGAAATACTGGGGCTTGGGAAATAAGTACGCCTAGGTCTATGATTTTGTTTCAAGGGTTTGGGTATTTGGGAGGGAGGTGGGTTTGGTGGGTAACGATACAGGTGCGAGGCGAACTGACGAGAATAAAATATGTGGTTACAATTACAAAATATACATTCTTCCTCTAACAGCCAAGAGAGTGAGCTATATTTAAAAGTTCAGTATAATGCTTATTGATTGACGAATTTTGTCTCCAATTGTCATCAAAATGACACATAAATCTTCAGGGATATCTTATCACTTGAGCACTTGGAGCAAACCACAGTTCACGGTGCCACTCGTCTTGGGCAGGCAAACCACACGAATAAGCGTTGTTATAATGCAATTGGAACTGGTGGCAATTGTAACCGCTTGAAACTTGTGTGTTGTACGGTTTCGCCTCATGTAACCACGATCCATCCTTCAACTGTTGCTGATCCAACTCCATTTGCTGCGTGAATCCAGACCCTTGCATCGGATCTTGCTCAACTGGGTACCACTGCGGAACACCGGCGTGCCTCACGATGAAGTGCACAATACCCGTTCCACAGATTGCAGCCCATTGTAACCCCAAAGCTCAGCTGCTTCTGACACTGATATATCCTCCTGAAACTCAAAAAGGGTGCGGCGAGGAGCATGCACCCATGGGCTCCCATGCACACCACCCCCTCCACATACACTCCCCCTGTCCCACGTGCTCCTCCCATCCCACACAATCACCCCTTCCCACCCATTATCATCCCACTCCACCGATGTCTCCACAGGCCAGGCAGTGAAATCCGCAGATTGCAACCATCGATGCACTGTCAATGCCCCCGCCACTCCCACCGCCGCCGCAGCTGCTGTGGCTGCTGCTGCTGAATCGGCTGCCGACGTCGCAGCTGCTGCGGCTGCTGAGATCCCACATGCATGTCCCAGCACCTGCCCCTGAGGCGGATGCACCTGCCCCTGAGGCGGGTGCACCTGCCCCTGGGGCGGATGCACCTGCCCCTGGGGCGGATGCACCTGCCCGTATAAATCATGATTGTGGTTGTCGAGACAGTGCAGTCTCTGAGGAGATCCAAAGTTCAGCACTGCCTGATAAGACTCTGCCTGATAAGCTTCCGGCTGATAAGCTTCTGGCCGATAAGCCTCCGCCTGGTAAACCTCCGGTTGATAAGCGTTTCTCCGATAAACCTCTGTCTGATAAGCCTCTTGCTGATAGACCTGAGGCTGGTAAACCTGCTGGTACAAATCAGTATGGCAATTCTGGTGGGGGTGCAGGTGAACCTGGAACAGGGCTTCCCAGGCATGCTCATTCCCCTGACCCACACGATCACTCCACTTGGCATGTTCCGGCTGTCAGAATGTTGTATTTGTCTAGCCTGCAGTGGGGTGCTCTATAGCGAGTACAGCCCAATCTAGGGTTTCCTATATGTACTCAACTGCTTGCTAGTGAAACCCCTCCTTTCTTCATTCTTACTTTCTACTGCTAGTTCTGACATGCTATCAGAGCAGGTCGACCCTCCTGGGTCGATCCTGTGGGTGGGCCCACCACCTCACTGCTTCCGCTGCTACTGCTACTCTGTGTGTTGCACGCCCCGTGGCGTGCGACGGATTTTTCATCCCGCCGCGCGCTCGGAGCGTGCGGCGGTTTTCTGCCCGCCGTGCGCCCCGAGGCGCGCGGCGGTTTTCTGCCCGCCGTGCGCCCCGAGGCGCGCGGCGGCTTTCTGCCCCGTCACTCCGCGCGTCGCTCCCGGGAGGCGCTGCGACGGGCGACGGGGACCCGCGCGTCGCCCCCCGTCGCCCGTCGCGGCCTGCGCGACCTGCGTAGGGCCTGCGCGCGGCCCGTACAGCCTGCGCGCGGCCCGTACGGGCTGCGCCAGGCCCGCGCGCGGCCCGTACGGGCAGCGCCAGGCCCGCGCGCGGCCCGTACGGACTGCGCCAGGCCAGGGCGCGCCTCGGGCCGCCCGCACGCGGTTCGTACGGGCTGCGCCAGGCCCGTGGGCGCCCTGTTTTCTCTGCCCCTGCGCTGCCCGCTGTCCCCCGTGCTTCTGACGGCGCCCCACCCCTGCTGCTGCCCGTTCTCCTGAATTAGGGTTTGGGGGTGGGGGGTATGGGGGTGCAGTTTCTGTGCGTCGTCCCCTGCTCCTCCTCCTCCTCCGTCTCCCAGTGCTGCAGCTGCCGCTGAGGGGGGTGGGTGTGTGGGAGCCGAAGGAGTGGTACTAGGGGGGTGACGTGCAAGTGGAGTTAGGAGTGAAGCAGTGGGTGTGTGGGGGGTGTGTGGGACAGTTGGAGGAGGTTGAGCGGAGGCTGCTGTCTTGTCGTCCGCAGCACCTGTAGTCCGGGGCGCACTGTCCTGGTAGCCCAGAGAGTCTGCTGCGCCTGTCGCCCGAGGGTCCGTTGCTCCTGTAGCTCGTCGTAGCCCGTGAGCCAGTTACTCCAGTAGTCCGGGGCGCACTGTCCCGGTAGCCACTGTGCCAGCAGCTCCTGTTGCCCGTGTGTCTGCAGCTTCAGCCGCCGTCTCTCATCTTCTCTCCTCTCACAGTCCCTCCTCCTCCTCACTTGCCCGCTGTGATTACCTCTAGCTTTGCTTCTTATTGTGAACTCCTGCTATACCTGCTCATTGTGCTGATTACACCCCACTTTGACTATGGGGGTGTGTCAGAATGTTGTATTTGTCTAGCCTGCAGTGGGGTGCTCTATAGCGAGTACAGCCCAATCTAGGGTTTCCTATATGTACTCAACTGCTTGCTAGTGAAACCCCTCCTTTCTTCATTCTTACTTTCTACTGCTAGTTCTGACACCGGCTCGCTGGAAAAATCTGGTTGGCCGGCAAACTCTGGCTGGCTGGCAATTGCTCCCTCACTGAGCCGCCCAGCTGGTAATATTTGGGGGACATGTGTGTCTGCTTCTCCTGCACCTGAACCTGCACCTGAACCCTGTTTCAGAGCCACTAGGGCTGCAGGTGCTGCAGGTGCTGCTGGTGCTGCAAGTGCTGTTGCCGCCGATGCCACGGCTGCTGCTGCTGCCGCTGCTGTTGCAATTTTGACTTGGAACGAGGGCCGTCGCATGCGATCTCCCGATGCCTTGGAGGAAGCCTCCTCGCAGGTTCTGCTGGTCGCTCTAGCAACACCGCCTGCCTTCCCACTCCTCGGCTTCAGAGTCTCACCGCGTTGCAGCCCGTGCGCTGGGGTTGGTGGCTCCTTGAACCCACCAGGCCTGCTGCCGCCCCCACTGCTGCCGCCACCATTGCCGTTACCACCACTGCCACCACCTTTGCCGTTGCCACCACTGCCGCCACCGCCGCCACCACCGCTGTTACCCCCAGCCCTTCTATCTCCTCCCCGGCTGCCGTCCCCACGAGTGCGCACAAACGTCAGCCTGCCAACGAGTGCCTTGAGCGAGGATGTGAGGCGGCCGGACGGGGTTGCTTCGGGGGAGAAACACTGCGGCTGGTCCAGAGGCGAAGCAGAGGACAGAACGGCTTTGTAGCGAGGAGATTGAGATGCCACTGTGACAGTGCTGCAGCCCCTGCGAGATTCACCACTGCAGGGCGTGTTTGGTTCACCAGAGAACTCAGAGCAGCCTGCGTTTGCTACACTCCTGCTGCTGGGAGAATCTCTGCGTATATCCTCGTCTCCCTTTCCCTCAGCCTCTGCATCTAACCCCCCTGCTTCTGCCTCCCTCTGTATGTCCGAGGACTCACCTCTTGGGCTCGTCATTTGTCCAGAGTCTGCCTTGTTGCCCTCCTCGTCGTGTGCCCGTTCACAGCCATGCGATGCTGCAGTTGCGCTCCCTAGGCGACTCTTGGGTAGACGTAGACTCACAGGCGCGGCGTCAAAAGGCGCAGCGTCACCCCCCATGCTCCTGTTGCACCTGCGGCTTGCTTGAGTGGAGGGAGACGCGTTGCGAGGTGACTGCTTCGCCTGCTGGGTCGACTCAAACGGCGCAGCGTCATCCCCCGTGCTCCAGTTGCCTTGGGCGGAGGGAGACTCTGTGCGAGGTGGCTGTTGCCCCTGTAGGGTCGACTCAAATGGCGCATCCTCGTTCCCCATGCTCCTGTTGCGCCTGCGGACGGAGGGAGACACGCGCAAAGGCCCGCTGTTGCTACCCCTCCTCGCCTGCTCCTTGCGCTGCTGCCGCCCCTGCTCCGTCATCGGTTCCCCATGCTGCGTCATCTGTTCCCCATGCTCTGTCCTTTCCAGCTTTCGCAGCTCTGCCAGCGACCCAATACTCCTCCTGCCTCTCACCCTCGCGCCGCTTCCTGCCGTAGGCGGCCTTCCCTTGCCACTCAGTGCTCCGTCAAAAAGCTCCCCCTTCTCTTGCTCCTTCAGCAGGTTATTCGTCACCCCCCCTTCATCTCCCTCTCTTTCTTGCCACATGATGCTTGCGGAGACGAACCGCCCGCTGCCTCTCCTTCCTCCTCCAGACGGTTATCCTTCAACTCCCCTCGCTTCTCCCCCTTCTCTTGCTCCTTCCGCAGGTTATCCGTCACCCCCCTCTTCCTCTCCCTCTCTTTCCTGCCACTCGATGCTCCTTCGATGCCGCTCGGTGCTCCTTCGATGCCGCTCGGTGCTCCTTCGAAAAACTCCCTCAGCAGCTTATCTATCAACTTCTTCTTCTCCCGCTCCCTCGCCCTCGCGCTGCTACCTACTACAAGCGGACCTCCATCAAATGACGCTTGCTCCCTCAACTGGTTATTCTTCAACCGCCCCTTCTTCTTCTCCCTGTCTCTCTTGCCACTTGATGCTTGGGGAGACGAACCGCCCACGGCCTCAACGGCTGGGCTTTTAAGCAGGTCAGCCGAATCCAACGACCTCCTCTCCTCCGTCCTCTCCTTCCTCCTCTCGCTTTTGAGAATTCTCAAAAGCGACGAACCGCCCGCGGCCTCAACGGCTGGGCTTGTAAGCAAGTCACACGAATGCAACGACCTCCTCTCCTCCCCCCTCGCACCGCCGCCTTGCTGCGAAGAACCCAATCAATTTATGCGAATCCGATGATCTCCTCACGTCATCCTTTCTCCGTTCGCCGCCGCATTGCTGCGACGACGATGATGGCCCCCCTCGCGCCGCTCTCCTTCCGGGCGACTCTAACGGCGCCCGCGAATCATCCTCTCGCGCCGCGGAAAACGTTTTTCCCGCCGGTTGCCGCGGAGACCCCCGCGCAGGCGACTCGGATGGCGGATCTTCCCCCCGTGTTACGCAAACCGCTTTTTCCGCTGGTTGTCGCGGAGACCCCCTACGCGCGGCCTGATTCGTAGCGGCAGAATTTCTGGTGGTACTGATAGGAGTAGTACTAAGAGCGGGGTCCCTTTTCGGGGTAGGAGGAGACGCAGCGAATCGCGCTACTGCCCATCTCATGTCCGTCTCCGCCGCCGCCGCGTCCGCGTCACGCTCGCGCCAGGGGATGGGAGATGCGGCGGGAGCTATGGCGGGATGTGCGGCGGGAGGTCCGGTGGGAGATAATGCGGGAAAACTTGTTCCTGAATTTACCGTCGCGGATACGTCAGTCCCTGTACAGTACGTGTCACCGCGTAGGGCGACACGCGAGAACGCATTGTGGCCGCCCATTACCCGATGATGCTACTAGCGATACTACCGATGAATTTTGAGATGATGTCGCAACTAAGTCGACTATTACACCGTAAAGTGACTTCCCGAATCCGAACGTTTCTGAAAGGTGCGCCGCCCGGCATCGAGCGGCGTTCGCGACGTTGCTTGTAGGCAGTGGCAAACACGAGGTGGGACTGATGGTCAGAAAGACGTTCGAGACGTTGCTAGGTGTGTGGACGAGGAAACAGGAGGTCACTATTGAAAAGCTTCAGGAATAGCCAACAGATGGTCAAAATGACGTTTCCTCTCTGAGGCGCAAGGCCTTTTGGATGGTCAAAACGATGTGACTAGGCTAAATTGCCTTATCATCCTACGTGACTCGACAGCGCAGCCTTATCGTCCTGTGCGACGATCATGACATATAATTCCAGGTTACATTTCGAGGTGAGCCTACGACAGCAGGACAAGTTGCATCGTGGTATTCTTCATTTCTTCATAAACGCGTTCGTCGCTGCGAGAAATGATAATTCTCATCGCTAGGGTTTCGGTTCCGATCAGATTGTGTCAGATGATTGACTCGACCGGCGCGTCAGTCGCATGATACGGCGAAGATATCGACGCGTGGCGCTTGTGCCTTTCCAGCAGCGAAGCTTCCTACGCAGTTGCTCAGCGAAGTAGCGTTCTATTCAGCAGCTCAGCAGCACAGCGCAGGACATGAATCGCCTCATGGCAAGAATCGCGCGGCGTCGCGCTGGCGTAGCTCAAAGCTTGCGCGACTGGGTGTCTCGCTCGTAAAAGCCGCCCTTAGAGAATAGATGCGTCCGATAGGGTGTGATACACCCCATCCCATCCCAGGGCGTGGGAGGGCGGGTGGGTGCATAGAATGCCACCCCAAAAACAAGCCCCTCGCATCTGTCTGTGTGCATATCAATCAACAAACAAACCGAGAAACATGTGTGTGAATCTGATGCTTCAGCTGATGACTCTCTGAAACGCGACGCAAACTACGCGTCCTTCCACGAAGGGCACAGCCTGCACACTGCACACTGGAACAAGTTGTTCGCTAGTACAATCAGAAATCTTAGCTGGCCTGATGTGAGCAGAGCATGTGCAATGCGAAGCGAAGGCAGGCAACGGCCTCTGGGCAATGTTACGGGAGGAGGTGAGCAGTGGGGTGCAATCAAGCTGGTCTGTGCTGTAAGATGCAAGCCAGAGGCGGTCATATGTTGTGCTTTCTGTCGTTCATGGGTGTGCGAGGGAAGAGTCGTGGGGCGGGCGGGTGTGCTTGCTTGGTTCTCTCGCACAGCACTCCGTGTTTGCTCGATGTAACTGTACCCTGAACCCATTTCCTCTTAGTCGATTCAGGCAAAATCCGCGGTTCGGTGTCTGGTGGTGGTGAATGTGCTTCAACACTTGACGACGCGCGGGCATGTTTGTGTCTGAAAATGAAAAACGTGTGTTGAGCTACATGGCACGTCAATGTTTTGCGTTCAAATTTCGAGATAATGGGCGATTTTTGAGCTGGCGGGCAAGAAATCCAATTTCGTGAAGCTGGCAGGGGTAGGACCGCTACCTGTCGACGTCGAAACCATCTCGACGCAGCCCCCTAGGACGTCACAAGCCATACCAGGCTCGACACCGCCACCCTCGACGTCACGAGCCATACCAGGCTCGACAGCTCCACAATCGACGTCACGAGCCATACTGGTATCAACAGCGCCACCCTCGATGTCACGAGCCATACCGGTAGTGGTTCAGTCGGTTGCGACGGATCAACGCTCGACGGAACGTGCCGTCAATGTCGAAGTGGGGGGGGCACCGACCGAAGTCCCTTCAACGGCGGAATCCATACCTGTAGTAGAAGAACCGATTTCGACAACAACCCCTCTCTCAACACCGGAAGCGACAAACCAGCCGTCATCATCTTCGGCACCACACCTTTCGACAACACCAACGGAACCAGTAGCCGCTGTCCCGAGCTCGACTGGTGGGCGACGTAGGAGAAGGGGTACGGGTGTTTCGGCTGAGGTTAGGCCACCACCCCCAACCGGTACATCTGCTTTGCGGGCCACTCCCGCCGCGCCTATGCGCTCATCGAAAAGACCCAGCAAAGCGGACTTAGCCAGCCATGTCCCTGCAGAGACGAATGATGAAGACGATGAGCAGGGAGAACAGCCCGAGGCGGACGATGTCGAAGAGGTGGACCCTTTCCACCCTGCCGCGGCAAATATAGGGCGAAGAAAATCCGTACTTGGCGACGGGAACGCTCAAAAGTGCGATTCGCCGTTGTCGGCTTCCGCTGCTGGCAATCGAACAGGATTCCACTCGGCCAAACTACGTCTCGGGTTCATGCATTTCAAGGCTTGGGCCTGTGCAACCCTGGCGCCCGGAAAAAACAAGGGAGTGCCGGTCGAGGAGCAGGTGATCAACGAGGACGAGGTCGGGAGAGAGATCGGCAATGATTTAGGGAAGGGGTGGAGGGCGGCGCTCCTTAACGAGGAGCACCTGCATGGGCGATGGACGTCGAAATGGCGGTTGTGGGCTTACGTCGAGTACATGTCGATGGAAACGGACGAACAGGCGGCTTCCTTGGATACCGGGCGGACCAGAGTAGCGGGACGGAAGCCGAAAAATGCACCCCACCGATGATGCTGGCGCGCCTAACTGCGCTAGGGTGCTTGTGCAAAGTAGAGGCCATACTCTTCGACGAACCACTCACAAAACCGATGGACGACATCACCGAGGCTAGGCAGCTACTAGCGGTCAAGCTGCGACAGCTACACGACTATCAGTTCGAGTAAGTTCGCTTCCCTACCCCATCGGCTACAACTTCTCACTCACTTTCTCACTTATGAAGTGCTGTATCTACCCACTCTATGCAGGAGCTGCGTCGACCCACACCGTGGCTTGCTCGACGATGTCTACACGGAGGAGCAGTTCCACATTCTCGTTTCAGACATCCTGCCACAGTGGGCCAAGGTGTACTTCGGGTCGTCGATGGCGTACCCCAGTCTGTCGCTGTGGAAGGCCTTGGCTGTGAGGGTGATGATTCTGATGGCGCATCACATGCAGGGCAGGGGGATCAGCATCCGTACGATCCGCTACTGCAACATGTTCACTCACGTCCTTCTGCCCATCACGAACAGCCCGGGGGAATCGTCGATCCTCATTCTCGTGGTCGCCTATCGCAATTCGAAGACCGTCAAAGACAATAAGCTCGGCCACTTGTACCTGACTCGACACATGGAATTCCGGCAGTGCGGCTTTGGAGTAGTTTTCCTCTGGCTACACTTCTTTTTTGACCTCGTGCCGCTCTACTACAACAACGCGAATATCGTGCCCCCCTTGGGTTTTTCAAACCCGGAGCCCTGGTCGAAGAAACACTTGTTCTTCGCCCTCTTCGACAAAGAGAAGACAGAGGTGCCGTACCCGACGCAGAATAAATGGGTGACATGGGCGATGAATAGCGCGGTTTGGATCTTGTCGAAAGTCACGCGCATCTTTCGACGGTCTGCGGCACAGATCCTCGCGGACAAGAACTTAGACCTCGACACCATCGCACAACTGGGTCAATGGGGCATGAACGAGATGCGCAGGTCATACGTCACAGGCATCCCGCGCCCGGCCATCCAGATGCAAGCGGGTTTCTCGCAGGAACCGGGCGACGATTACATCGGAAGATCGAAGACCAAAGTGCCCCCGAAGGTCCTAAAGGCTATCGAGGAGCACATATTTCCTAAGGCGGAGCTGTGGCTCATCGAGGTATGTATCTGTCGAGCACTTGCGTCTTCGTCGAACGCAAGTTTTGCTCGCCCATCCATCTCTCGATG